TTTTTTTTTCTGGTGGGGAAAGGTTGTTTTTACGAGGGCCTCGAACTCGGGACTTGAGACCTGGTACCAAAGATACAGATTCGAACTCGGGACGTGGGACCAACGACTCAGGCTCGGGACCAAAGGCTTGCCCACCTCTGATTTGGGTGTCTCTGGTAGAGGCGACAGAGCCTGCATTTTGTACGGTTCGCGAGACAAGACGAGCCGTTTCCCATCGCTCAAACGACGCGCAGGCGATCGCAGACCAAACCGACTTTGCTCCCTCCCCAGTCCGGACCTCTCTTTTTTGGTCCACCAGCAGAGATGCTCTTCCTCGGAGCCGGGCCAGAACGATTTCCGTGGGCCTGGAAGAAAACGACTGGAGAGCACCGTACGAACGGTGGCCTTTCTGAAGATGGGCGCAGAAGTAACTTAAGAAATATCGAGGGCATTTAAACAAGTGAATTAAGAGGGTTTGCAGAGATCTAACAACGGGCCCGTCTCTCCCACCCTGGTTATCTCGTGACCCACAGAGGCGGTTGGGGCAGATGATGTCAGCTCCGAGCGGAGCCTCTCGTATAACCCCGAAGGTCAACCCAGTGACCTCTCCTTGTCCCCTGTCCTAAAGAACAGAGGCCGCAGGGTCACCGGGGTCTACAATTACCGTCGCCAAGGAAATCTACCTGTCCTGTCCGTGGCCACCGGGACATTTAAACCCCCTTTCCTCAATTGCAGGGAAAGGGGTGTGTGGGGGAGAGCAGAAGGAGAACTCCCTCCACCAAGGGCCAACAGGCTGGACCGCTGATGCTCTTGAGTGGCCAGATGGGGCCATCACACCCTCTCTCTCTCTCTCTCTCTTTTTCCTCCGAGGTTTCTTGTGTAGGCTTCTTGTCTTCTTCTCTTCTCCCCTCGGGCACCCTTTTGTCATGGGTATCTGCCCCCACCGGTTTGTGATACCCCCCCCCGTCCTTTCTCCCTCAGGTTGTTCCCACGATCGCCCATCTCGTGGAACAGAAAGAATGGCCCTTTTCAAGGCTTCCCAGCGATGGCTTTTGGGGGGAGGAGAGAAATAAAACTCCCCAAAAGAGACCCAGAGGGATTCTTGTCCAACATGGGAGACAAAGCCACCTTGTTCCAAATTTTGTAATCTCTTCTCTGCAGCCTGCGAAGATCCATTCCCCCCCCCCCAATCACACAAGGGAATTATTTAAGGATAGATCGAAGGACTTTCCTTTGGGCAGGAGGGAGGGAGGGCAGCCCAAAACCACTTTCTCTCCCCAGATGTAAAGGTTTCGTGACCACGCTTAGCGAGTGAAATCGCTCAGGGGGTTTAAGTCTCTGGTCGGGAGTTTGATTCCCCCGTTATGCCTCCTTGGATGAACTGGATGATCCAGAGGGTCCCTTCCAGCTCTGCCGTTCTTCAGATCCTGTTGATGATGATGATAACGTCGCCCCTTCTGGTTCCAATATTCTGGTCTTGAATTCAGCTGTTGGCATGGGATGATTTTTTTTGAGGTGTGTGTGTGTGTCAGGACTACATAGAAGCTAGTTGGAAGGGTTTCGAAGTTCTGGATTAATCCGCGAGGAGCGCATCTATTGGGGGGCATCTGGTGGGAAATGACTAGATCTAATAGAGATGGCTGTCCTGTTTTTTTCTTGAAGGCCTCCAGCGTTGGAGCGCTCGCCACCACCTCCCGAGGTCCTTCGTTCCGTTGTCGTACTACTCTAACAGTGAAGAAGTTCTTTACGGATATTCCACCGAAATCTGGCTTCCTGTCTCTTGGGCCCATCGTTGTGCGTCCTGCTCGCTCGGATGATCAGAAAACAGATTCTTACAAGAGCTGAACTCATTGATCTTCAAAGTTCTACCAGATTCTGTATTGGTTTTGCCGCTACCCTCTCCTTTACAGGCATGGAGACTTTCGGCGAACGAATGGGCTTGAGCCTGGGGGGGAAACGATGGAAGATTCAGAATGGGGGACCGAACCCATTTCTTTAAAGGCATCTCCTATCTGCCTGCTTCGGCCCCAAGGGCCTCGGATGGAGCTGCAGCATCTTTAAAAGTCGGGGAGGGGACCTCTTCTCCGGTGCACCGTCCTCGGAGGAGCCCGGCGGCACACCGCTGGGAGGAAGATGATGGAAGGCCACCTGCAGAGATCCTGTACAGCTGGGGAAGATTAGCCTCCTTCCACCCGACCAGAGTCATTACCGGCTTCCAATATGCTATCACTTACGCTAGGACAGCCTGCAGAATGAAATATTGATTGGAAGTGACCCCGGAGAAGCCCCTTTCCTCTTCAGCGTACAGATCAGCCCCGGCCCGGCCCGAGGTAGAAGCCTTCAAGAAGGTCGGTCGGTTAGCCGAAGGCCTCTGGATTTAGGGGATTCGTGGGGGGGGGCTCCTGCGGCTGGCCGGAGGAAGGGAAAAGGCCCCCCCCGAGTTATTGCACAAAGGAAGGGAAGAGAAATCACCTTGAAGTTGTGAACGTTGTGCCAGGTTCTTCCCACCCACCCCATTTCATTTAACTAGTTGTAGAGACTTCGCCTTCTGGACACCTTCGATGTCAACGAATTGGACCAGGTTCATAGGAGGGGAGTCACAAAACTTCTACTGGAGTTTTCCAGCGGAAGTCAATAAACGGCTTACAAATAGTCCCAGCTCGGAGGTATCTCCATGGAACGGATCGCTCCGGACTGAGCAGGATCTGTTCCAAAAATCCTGATATTGGTCTTAAAATTAGATGGAGAGTAGCAATGCAGCGCCTACGGTAGGGCCCCCTTATCCGCGGCATCCGTATCCGCTGGTTTACCGATCCGCGGTCTCAAAATATTAAAAATATGAAAAGAAAAATCCCAGAAATATATATTTCCAAAGATGATGTTACTAGAACTGGCCACTAGAGGGAGACAAAGACCATGTGCAGTGTTCGCTATTAAAATAGTGTTTGCTATAATCCACATTTTTCAATATCCACGGGGGCGGCGGCTTGGAACTGATCCCACGTGGATATGGGGAGGGGTCCAACTGTACCGTTATCGTTGCCCTCCTACCCCACCCCCTGACATCACGGAGCCCTCCTCAAAGGCTCGCTCCTTTTGGGGAACAGCCCAAGCTAATTCCGGCTTCTGTCAGTTGTGCATTACGACAACGTTGTTTTCATCAGTTGTTGTTGTTGTTGCTTTTTAAACTTCCAGTTGCCTTTTGTCACTTTCTTGGTTCAAGAGCATTGTTTTGCATGGAAGGCGTCCCAGGAGTGGGCCTTGAATAATCTCTGAATGTTATGCTTCTATGTTCTAAATTTTGCAATTAATGGATTTTGAAGAGATGAATGGAATATCTCCCGGCCATCGTCCTGTTTCTTATTTAGATGCTCCGAGAGGCAGGCTTTTTGTGCGTTAAACAGCATTGTGCATCTATTCTGGTTTCCTCTTGCTAAAAGATGTTGTGTCCTTGTCTTGTTGTTCTTGTTTTTTTTTTTTCAGTCCAGGCAACAAACGCCAGTAGACAAACACAGAAGCAATACACATTCTGAATGAGGAATGCGGGAATCCCTCTCCCCTTCTCACTTCCTTCATTCTTAAGACCTCTTTGCACCCAATGTTCCATTTTTTTGTTCTTTCACACCTGCGGATCAAAGCTATTTTACACACTCTGCCTTGCGACCCCCATCCCTTTATTCCCCACAAAGCGGGTGGCGCTCGTGTCAGCAGGTCAGATTTTTAGGGCAAAATGACCCTGAATAGGCTCAGCCCCTTGAAAAATCTGCTTTAAAGTTCACACAAAAACTTAGTGCGGATGGGCTCCCCACCGAACAGCCACCGGCGTTTGCTATGTGCGTGTGAGCCAGAAGGGAGACAATATATTCTTCCAGCCTTTTCTTAAATTACAGCAGGACCCCCTTATCCGTGGGAACCGTATCCACTGATTCACTTATCCACGGTGTGAAAATATTAAAAATATCGAAAGAAAAGCCCTAGAAATATATATTTCTAAAGGTGAAACTAGAACTGGCCACTAGAGAGAGTCAGAGACCAGGCTATGTATATAGCATTCAGTATTAAAAGACTTCCCTTGAATACAGCTGGCAGTTGCAATAACTGACAGTGGATTAAAAACTGATATAGTTGGGATGTTCCATGTCCAGCTTATATAATCAGAGAGAACCAGCTCTTGGAGCCTAAAAGCCAGCAATCTCTTAACTCGATGGTGCACTTGGCATGTATTTAGAAGCAGTGCTCCCTCGTGTGGTGAATGGCATCTGTTTGTCACAGCACTTATTTCTCATCACCTCCATATTTTGCATCCCGGGATCTTTTGTTTCGTGAGTCAGTCATCAGAAGGAAAGCATGACCTTAATGTGAACGAAATTCTTGTCTGGCGGGAATTAAAGCAGGCTGGGTGGGTATCCTATTATTAATCCAAACCAAAGCAGGCCCATGGATTCAATGGGATTTACACAAGTGTTAATTTGCCATTTAGCAGCTCATTCAGTGCATCTACTCTAGCTGGATTTAGCAAGTGTAGATCAGTGATCAGAGTTTGATAGCAGGCACCCAAATTCTTGATTTAAATTTTTTTAAAAAAATTGTGTTTCGTTTCACTGCTGCTAGAGAACATTAAATGCTTCGCCATGGAATTGCAAACCTCTTCGGTGGGGTTGTGATTTTCTTTATTGCTTTGTGTTTTAACATCGCAGGGCATCACCCGGGCATTTTGCAAGCCAAGAAATACGGCAGATGAACATTGACCGACCAACCAACCTACTGCATATTCAGCTCCACCAGTGTCAAATAAAGACCCCCACGTTGCAGCTCTTTAAATATTTTTGAACGGCCAGTCCTGCTTGTATTTATTCATTTATTTGTAATGCTTTCCGATGGATTCAATCCACGGAGCCCGACTGCAGGATCTCAAGTGGGGGGTGGGAAAAGTGCATTCAAAACCTAGCATCTCCAGTTGCTAAATGTAAAATTAAGTTCACCCTCCCGTTTTCTCTACTTTAGTTAAGAAAAAGGTTCACAAGTTTTCTTTCTGGCGTTCCTAGTGCTTTCCACGAAACTGTCTCGAGTCTACTGAGGGCGATGCTTTGAATGGAGTATTTTCAAAATTCGACATGTCTCCCTCCACAAAAATTATATTCCCTTCTTTTCCTGTTCTCTCTCCCAATTGCCTCGATCAAGCGAAAGATTCCTTTTGATTAAAAAAAAGAAAGGTTTTGGAAGGAAACGAATGAGAAAAAAAACCCAATAAACCAGGCCTTGGAAACGAAGACGAAAACAATGTTTTCTATTGTGATTTTTAAAAAAGGGAAGGAACAATTATTCCTTCACTTTCTTTTTAATGTTCCACAAGCGAAGAGGGGGTTTGGTTCCCCCCTTCGTCACAAAACACCGTTTGATTTTTTCACTTCCCCAAGGAAACAATGCGGATTTCCCAACATTAAAAAAAAAAAAAATCAGGTGTCCTTCAGAGGCACTTTAAAAACCGTTACAAAGACCGGTTTTGGCAAACGCCATGGGCCGGCGAAGCGTGAGCTGCGCAAACAGCTGCAAACAAACGAACAAAATTTTTTAAAAGAAAGGCAGAAATTAAAAAGACGCCTCTTTCGTTAGGAACAATGTGAGAGATATTTTAATAGCATTCTCCTGCACCGAGCATCCTAGCTCACATTCCCCCCCCCTCCATTAATCACCTTTTCTGGGTCCCATTTCCCATTGAGAAGCATAACACACACACACACAAAATAATAATCACACAATGCTTTTGGCTCGAGGAGATGAGTAGCAGTTACCAATTACCGCTGGCAATTAGTGGCCCCACATGGAGGAATTAAGACGAGAGGGGGAGGAAGAGCCCGGGGTCCCTGGATCGCCATCAATTCTGTGCCAAGCTGGCCTTGCTTTGAAGCCGATGATATTCCTTCAGCCTGGAAGCCAGGAGAGGGGAAAAACGAAAATTCATTTCATTATGAATTAATATTAATCTCGGGCAAATTCAAGTGAAGTTAAGAGAAAGGTTGAGAGGAGGGGGGAAAACACAACATGTGTCTCTCAACTTATTCGAATTTTCCATATTTCCATTCTTTCTTTCCCCCCAAATACTCGATTGTTAGATCATGAATCTATCCGAGAGGAATAAAACGAGGATCGTCAGCTGATGGAACAAAGAAGTTACCTCGCTATGCATGGGAAGAAAGGAATGCATTATGTAAATGTTCCCTTATATATATAAAAAAGAATGTTTCAAGGCAGACCATGGGAGTAACAGATCCATTAACAAAAAATAAAACAAGCTGCAAGCTGACAATGATTATGGTTGCTGTAGACCAGCTGGATTCCCTGCTTCTTGAAAGTTTGATGGGCGGATGCTTTACAGACATGGGGTTCTTTCCTTTATGCGAGAGGGCACCGCTTCCTGTATTGAGAAAGCTAGCAGTTCATGGTGGTGGTGACGAAATCTATTGAAAGACAGGTGTGGGGGGAATCATTCAGTGAAACAATGGTTGTCCCTATTTCGGGGGGGTTGTGAGAGAAAAGGCTTCTCACGTCAAGCACTAATGTCTGGGATATATTGAATGAAGAAAACGAGGGCCGTTGAGACGCCTTCGGCTCTTTTTGAGAACGGCGAGATAAAAATATTTTAAATAGAAATTTAATAATTGTTCAATCCTGCTTCTCAGACAGATATTGTCTACAATACCCTTCTTCTGGTTGAAGAATACATCGCATGGTCTCTGGCTCCCTCTACTGGCCAGTTCTGGGAATACATGGTGAAAACACATTTTTCTGGATTTTTTTGGTTTTCTTTTACCATGCTATGTACGGCGTTGGCTATTATTCTGCAGTTTTCGGCATCCGCAGGGGAGTTTGGGACCACATCCCCGTGGATACAGGAATCCTACTGGAAAACCTGTAGCTGTCCCTTGCACGAATGACACTTCCGTACCTCAAGGAGTTGATGTTAATGAATCCTGTGGCATCGGACGGTTCATAGTCCCCTTGGACATCCATGCTGTACGGAGGAGAGGCAAAAGTAAAAGTTACACACTGCAGTGGAGACCGGGGGGGGGGACAAGGCCGCACCACACATTCAGACAACCCACAAATTCCAGAGGCAAATCTAGACCAAAAGGAAAGGATCCAATTGAATTCCAACGAAGCATTTCAGAGAACAGTGAATCAGTGGATACCGATCCTGCGGATAAGGGGTTACTCTTGTAAACAGCCTGGTCTCTGGCTCCCTCTACTGGTCAGTTTTGTTATCTTCACCTTTAGAGATATCTATTTAAATATTTTTAATACTTGCAGAGTATGGATCAGTGAATCAGTGTATACTGATCCCGCGGATACTGGGGTCCTCCTGTACTTAGAGTCCCCATGAATTCGAAGCCGCCTGGCGGCACAGAATAACATCAACCATTTAAATACATAGAATCATTTTGCAATTAGGGTCAATCTCTGAGATAGGATCTGAGTGCTGCCCCCCACCCTATGAAAATAACCACAATTAGAAACCTTATAATTAGAATAGGAGTGGGTAAGGCACTACCAGGTGTGGCTGATGTTGTACTACAATTCCCATTCTCCCCGGGCAGCAAGAGTGAGAATTGATGGGCACTGTGGTCCGCCGGCCTCTAGATACCTCAGAGTTAGGAAGGTATGAATGCTCCTCTGTGTTTAAAGAAACCAAGTTGTCTTAATTCTCTCCACTTTATAACAAACAATTCCCTAGAACTGAACCATATTTTTAAGGCTACGGCACATCTAAACAAAACCCCAGTGAAACAATGCCATTATTCATAATTTTGAACTCTTCCCACATCAAAGACAAAAGTCTAAAATTAATCATGGCTTCGAACATTTTGTGAATAGCATTTTTTGGAAAGCTCACAAGTAGAAGAGCTGGAGACCTTTGGGGGGGGGTTGGAAATCTGGCAACCGAGCCAGAGGTGGGGAGTTTGAATCCCCCACTGGGCCTTCTTGAGAGGGGCTGGACTTGATGATCCATAGGGTCTCTTTCATCTCTACAGTACTAAGAGGATGAGGATGATTGTCCTTAATGAATTACTAGGGAGTTCGGTGGTTTAGATCTCTGGCTTACAGGAGCCAGAGGTTGGGAGTTCGAAAATAAATAAAGATTAAAAATAAAATCCTCGTAATGCGTGACCTAGAGGAGAGAGAAAATGATTTTCCATAGCGGTTCGTCCCAACATGCTAGCTTACTACATGCAGGGATCTCTTGACGCTGCAGGGCTGTCTGGAATTGTATCCGCTCCATTTCCCTAATTGCGCCGATCAGCTAAGTGAAGCAAATTGGGCAAGGCATCAAGCCGTTTACGGCGACCGTAGCATAATCATGGGGGTCTCTAATCACATTGTGTTAATTATTTTAATTGTTAAATGTGGGATTGGAAAAGTAGCATTTCGGC